CACGTGTCACATGTCAGGCTGTCAGCTATCATAACTTCAAGATGGGGTAAGTCGTTGCTTTCTACCATGCCATGTCAGGCATAGTATCACCAACAACTCCTGGTCTCAAGATTATATCAGGCATAGTTACTTGTTACAGCTTCGCCGCTTCAGCGAAGCTGCTCACAAGATAAATAGCTACGTTCATTCCATTCTTTCTTATACTCCTCAAATAATTCTCACTCCATACCATTGGCGCCTTCGGCATCATATGATCTATCTTATGTGATCCCACATTTTTGTAACACCACATCTGTGTGCAGGGACTTAGCGCTTGCAAGGTTTCCTAGGCAAGTGAAGCTCCCCAGGGCATGAGAGTTTTATTGATTTCAAAGCGATTTCTTGGTATCCCTTGAGCATGGTTATTTCGTGCTCCCACCAGCACGAGAGCTCATCTATGTCTGGGAATGAGAGTCGACAGTTACTATATTATAGCCAAGAGAAATGTAACATTGATAAAGATATATATGGGCTGATTCTTTTGTGAGGGAATACTATCTCCTTATATTATTAGTGCTATATAAGTCGGGCGATACAGGCGTAAACGTGCATAGGTAAATTTTATGTAACTTACATTTAAAATTCTTAGGTAACTAGGAATACCCTGTCAACTGCAACTGAATTATAAAACGTAAGAATAACAAATCGGCATAGTAGTTAGATGTACATATGAAAGCAGTCCTATCAATGCAGACCAAATTTGACAATAGTACTCTAAATGTAAATATACAATACTAAACATTACAAAGCGAAGAGTGATAAGATAAACGTATCTACGTCTTTCAGTAAAAGGAAATAAGTCTAAAACCTGGGCCGAATGCAAATCTAAACCTTGATGCGCCGGATCGCATCGTGATCAGGCTGCGTTTGGAGATCAACATTAAAAGAGTTGTTCTATGACTTCTTCAATCGCCCTTGATGTCGTAGAACTCCTGTATGTGAGCAGATCGAAGAAATCAAATGGTAATAATAAGATTAATGGAGAACACGATATGTCAGCTGAGCTTATGTCTCTGGAACATCTATTGAAAAAGCCATATTAGGATAAAATAGCCAATAGACGAGAAATAATTACGCATCAGCTGGGGATACCACTGCCACACATAACTTGCAAATTTGAAAATGTAAAAGAAAATACAACATGGCCTAAATACCAAGGTAACCGTCTATATATAGTGGTCCAAGGATTTATGACAGCATCGACCAAATCTTGACTTGGTCAATATTGATTAGGCTAGCAGGAATTGGCCGATCCGGGTCATTACAGTAATCTTTTCTACTGAAAGAGGCTTGGTTTGTGATATCGAAAATATAATTGCAGAAAAGGTCATGGATACCAATATTAACAGGGGGTGCTGGAAGATCAACTAATAATTTGAGTGAGTGGATAGGTTTGAGAAGAAGGGAATTAATAAATATTATTATATGTAAACCTACGAAGCTGTATAAACAATTGTCTCTTATTTTAGTTAACCTAATAGCGTAGTGGAATATAACACAAAATACATAAGGGCATATAATATAACTAAGACTAAATAATTATTCTATATCAGCCCTCAAACTTCTCAGCGTCATGCCCATTACTATACCGAAATTTCTCACTCCACTCATACAGCTGTTTGAAATCCCTACACTGATGCACAGTGCCAAAGCCATCGACCCCATTACCTTTAGTACCTCCATCAAACGGAGAGCGAAAGGGCTCAAGGGCACTGTCTGCGGCGCATAGAATGCTTTCTCGGAGATAATCAAAGCAGTGTAAAGAATGCGCGTCATGCAATTTCTGGGCTTCGTCATGTGAGAGCTTACCAGTCAGGGCGCGGCGAAAGTCGGCGTAAATGAGAAACTGATGGTAAAATCAGAAAAGAAATTGCGAGTCAAGTTAACAGGAAGGCTCACGAGACAATGGAGTTGATGAAACGCGGCAACACAGAAGCGCCCTGATCCATCCGTGCTCATATCTTGTACGATCCGAGGAATATCTCCTGCGGCTTTTATATTGTCCATGGTAACGTAACCCATTCCCGCTGAGGCACAATTAGTATCAGCGACAGCGATTAAAGACAAAACTACATACGAGGAAACAATGACATCCAGGCTTCGTGGCTGGCGTTCATGTCTCGATCAAAGTAAGCACCTCCGCCCACGTAAGTTCGAAGAAGGTTTCCGAGAGGCGGAACGTTCAAGGATGGAAGAAGTTCTTGTCGCGAAGCACCTCTATTTGAAGATAATGGAAGAAGATTGTGGGTAATAACGGTACCAAGGGCAGAAATAACGGCACTGACCATGGCGACGATGATGATCAAGCGTCGAGTTGTTCTGCGGCTCTGGCCGTCGTGTTGTGTCATCAATTCAGCTTCATCATCTTTGGTGAGAAATGGCACCTCGTTCTCTGGAACTGAGTCGAGCATTGCTCCGAATCGCCAAGTGATTGTTGAATGGAGCAAAAAGTGAGTCAAAGGTGAATTCTCTGGCGAAAGCGGGAAACCGAGGGGTATTGGAAATGTTGGTCAACGTAGTGATTCTTGACTTCTCCTCAATGATACATGGGCAATGTCTCGGCACTATTTCTCGTTCCCGTGCATGTAGTTGCGCCGGCTTACTTACATGATTGCGGCTTACTTACGTGATTGTGTCTTGTTGATAGGGACATATGCTATGCATTTGGCTGCCACCTGCCGTTCTAGATCAACTATCGACGAGATACATAGCCGAAGCCATCAGCCGATCCACATCCTTCCCCCGTTACCGCTCAACTGGGGCGTGTAGGCAGCTAGCATATGGTAGGTTATCATATGTAAAACAGGAGAACGGCATGTTTGCTAGCCCACAAATTTCCGATGGAACTTTGTCATGATCCCAAAGGTGTGCGTGTGGACGGATGGGTGGTGCATGCATTAGCTCGAATGTGGTGGAGGGGAGGGATCGAGAAGCCAAGTTCGAGTAAACTACCCTAAACCCCGCATCTCGAGCTGCCGGGCCATGGCCATAACAAGCCTAAAGGGACTTGACTGCCTCTGTCACTCGACAACCTTTCCTTGTTGATGTTCGTTCAGTTTACTTGACTCGCACATGCATCACCCTCTACAATGACAGTGCCAGCCCCGCTCCACACATGTCTTGTTGCATCTTTCTCCTCAGCGGTAACCATCATCGTACTTCTTCTCCTCATCCGCCCGGGTTATGACAACATAATCACCACCGTCGTTGATCGCGTACGGGCCCCGCCTTCGGCCGACGTCAGCCATTGTCCTCGGCCGAAAGAGTATCCCGCCCTCACGCCGTCGCAAGAGCTCTCCCCAACCAAGTTTGTCAAAGATCCATGGATGCATCCGATATACAGCCGAAAGGGCATTTCCAACCAGACGGCCTTTTGGGATTCGCTGCTTACACCAAATGGAGGCTTCCTAATGGTCGACTTGGGCGACCATAGAAACCATAGTGTGGGGGTGTCCATGTTTCATCAGCTGCACTGCTTAAGCATAGTGTGAGTATTTTATCATTGCGGGTTGCCCCAAAGTACCTAACTTGATTCTAGTCGAAGCGTGGTGGTCGGCGGGGGCATGGACAAACATCCCAATGACGGCGGAGGAAACAGCACCATGGAAGACGATCAACACTTTATGCACTGCTTCGACTACATCGTTCAGGTGATGCATTCCAGCCAATGCTTTGAATCTCAACCCACAATTCTAATAGAGAACTTAGGCCATCCTGTGCTCAGCTGATGATGCTTTGGAAAACTCAGTTAACATATTGGACGCTGAGGGCGGGGAGGAGGACGGAATCAACGGAATGGGGCAGACACACAAGTGTCGCAATGCCACAATGCTCTATGACTACGTGCTGCAGTCCGTGCAGGTCCCCATAAAGCCAGCCTCGCTTGGGAAATATTCTGTATTCTTATGAGCGCTGAAACTCATCAAGACGTTGTGTAGCAAGAATAGATGAATCACACACGAGAATTTGTGCTCGAATGAGGTCATGGCTTGGCTCGACTGAGCAGCCCAAGTACTCCGTCCAACGATTAAAAATAGCAGGGACCGGGATTCCGATCTGCCCCCACATGGCTGTTAATCGTGCAACCAAGACTACCTAGTACTCCATATGAAGCCGCCGGCCCGTAGTACTAGTAGGATAGGAGCAAAGAGCGCTACTGCAAATGTAGTTCTTTTTCCGAAAACGACTAAAGGTATGCCGCTTACCCGCGCCGCAGTTGCTGACGCTCAATCGCCGGAAGTTTCCTTGACCACATTCAACATTTGCTGTATGTACACATCCTCTTATTGGAGCAATAACATAGTTCGGATAACCACCATGGGGCAATACCTGACAAATGATCTCTATTGAACCCGAGTAGTCTGACTACCTATTCCTTCTTACGCCTAGCAGGGCGCCGATCGTTTTGACCAGGGGTAAGTCGTTGTTGCCCAGAGAGGAAGCCGACACAGGTTCCGTATCACCCCATTGGCTGCGGCGTATGGGCATCCCGCCAAAGACCAATACTACCACTACCCGAGCCGAGGCGGGAGCTGACTGGCGGTAGTTCCAGCGTCACCAGCGACACCAGCTACACCAGCGTCACCGGCGTCACATCGAAAATTGAGGACTGGCACAGGTTTCAATCTACAGTAGCGATATGCGCCTGCATACTTGTCATTTGGTCTATTCTGGCTGCCTTGGGGATTCTATCCTTTGTGCTAGATGAGTAATGCGGAGGTTTCAGCCACCAACGGCTTGCTTTGCCTCCTCGGCATGTTTCCCGTATCCTTAGGGCGCCTTTTCCCAAACCTTGGAATCTGCTGGCATCGGATATCCATTTTCTGGTGGAGGTGCTACCTCATGGTCTTCAATCCACTTAGCCACACTGTCGAGGTCGCGGCATTTATGCACAGTGTTGAAGTTGGCAAAGGGATCCGGGATGTCCTTTACCCAGTGGTGCGGGATGACACCGACGTCGGCGCTGCACATGATGTTCTGCCGAAGCATTTCAAAGCAGTGGTCTATATATGTGATTAGCAAGCGATACGTATCCATCCATGATAGCAGCGTGTGTGGGTACCCACTGATGTGCACTTTTACGGTAATCGGTCTGTCGTTCAGCCAGGTTGCCCATTTTTTGTTTTCTGGTCTTTCGTAGTACTCTCGGTGATATGCTTGCCGGATTACATTGAGACACTATACATATGTCAGCTCGCTCATGAAATAATAGCAGCAGCTGCATGGGGAAAAAACATGTGCTTACATGCATTTTGTGGCTGATCTCGAGGAATCCAATATACCCTCCTCCGTACTCTTCAGTGAACCTGGCAGACCCTTCCAAGTCCATGCCCATTGCGGCAAATTCGTCACGAGAAAAACTGGCGTATTTGACTATACGGATTGTCAGTGAAACTGGTGGGTGAGGGCTGAATGGGCAAAGGCCTCCACGAACCGAACTTACCAAAACCCCATCTGTTCCATTCGCGGTCCATGGCTTCGTTTGGGTCTCCCCAATGGCCAGTAAACTGCGAATTCTTCCCGAGAGTGCCTGTTGAGCCGATTAGCTTACCGTGGTGGAGATTGAATACTGTTGGGTGGCTGGGAAATACCGTTGAACTTGACATCATGTAGCTTATTACTGACCTGCTTCATTACGGTCGCTAAAACCACGTTAGCATCATTTGCGGAATATTGGAAATCTTTGGCAGAACTAACAGTAGGTTGAGCTGTGCCTCATGCATTTCTCGTCAAGATGAGGTTGCCATGCCTTGCCAAGCAGAAAGGCTCCAGCTGCGGTAAGAGCCAAGACGCTGACAGCCATGATGATGCTGAAGACGCCAAAGCGTCGATAAGGGTGGTATAGAGGGTAAACATCGTCCCCTAAGAGAGCACGCGCACCCTCTTGGTCGTCAAGACTATCTTCGTCTGAAGTTCGTAATGACTTTTCAAGATTTGAAGATGGCACGGCAAAGTATATATGCGGCCGACTAACTAGATCTTTTACGACTTGTCTCCAAGGTCGCATATTGATGATTATATTCAATATCGCTGCTTAGTAGAGATGGAAAGGTAGGTAAATGAGTGATTGAAAGCCAAGATTCGCGGGATGGAGAGGCGGGCGTAAGTTGAGAGCTGCGTAGAAGGGGCAATTGGAAGCCAGGTTGAGCAAAGAGGATTGACCATTTCCCAATCCAAATAAGTGAACTGGTATATAAGTTTCTGCGGGGCATATTCCTAAGTCTCTAGTCAAAGTCTTCCGACTATCGTCGCTGATAACTTCTGGGGTAGGACAAACTAGTGTGAAAGTCAAATAGTGGAGCTATGTTCCAGATCATCTGCCATGCGTTGACAACGGGCGTCTTTTCTCTGCGACTGAGTGATTTCCTTCATACTCCGCACGAATCGGGTGGCACAACAGGGTGATGAGAGTGCATTTCTCTGAGTCGGGGCGAAGTAAGCTGCATGCAGGTATGCATGCAGCTGAAGGTGGCATTGTGCTATCACCTGCTTATATATTGCGAAATAGTTTATACCCTATACCTCCAACCCCCTCTTAGAATTCCAATATATACTATTTATTTCGACAGTACTATACCATTTCGGGGAGGAGAGTTTGTGGACTTCTCTTTAATGTCTCGGCGATACCCCTCTATGTTATCCTGTATGTGACAAGCGAGGGAACTTTTGATTTGCTTCATGGCAACTAAGCACCTTAAATAGGTCAACTTCGTGGGACGCTAGCCAACTTTCACTATCAAAATATTACATTATGTTTTGCCACAAATGCAGATACGAGGTGAGGAGGGAAACAGTACGAAGAGGAAGCGTAGTTCCATTAATGCCCCAAGGTATGAAGGGCCCCGTCTCTACTCACATAAAAGCACAGAGGATAGGCGTCCAGGTTTACCACAATATATCTCAAAGTCATCATTCCACATTGTAATTCACTTACCAAACGGTTAGGTCATCATCAAGCCTTTACCAAACATCTTTTCCAAGCTGAGACCAATTAGCACATTAGCAAGAAAGACACAATGGTCAAATTTACATCCGCCATTGTCATTGCCTTTGCGGCTTTGGCCACCGCTGCACCTACCAACGACTACCCCAAATATGGAAAGTTTGGAGAGTTTGAGGCTGTCAACAACGAGAAACGAACCAACGACTATCCTAAGTATGGCAAGTTTGGAGAGTTTGAGGCCGTCAATAATGAGAAGAGAACAAATGACTACCCCAAGTACGGAAA